AACTTGCGCATCCTCCACCCACCAGAGGGGTTGGAGAGCTTTAAGGGCCACAGGAAGTTGGCAACCTAAGGAGGACATTGAGAAGGATCAAGACAAAAATGAGTGAGGGTCACACACCTGCTTGAAGTTAGGGCCAGCGGTCGCGATCTCGTGGACGAGATTTTCAACACAGAGGATGTTGTATTTGCTGAGCGCCTCCTCAATGAACGCATTGTTCAAGAGAGGGATGTGCTGCTTGTTGACCTTGCCGTACCCGCACTTGTAGATCAACTCCCAGACGGATTTAATATTAGGCTCGCTGAATGCGCACATTAGTCATGATGGTTATTCCCAAAGTCAGACTGCTCAAAGCATGTATTCCATTACCGTATCCTGACTGTGGTGCTGTGGTGCAGTCCCAAACCACAAAGCCATAGATTTCCGCGCTATGTTGATGCTCTTATTGGGATTTTCTTCGCTGGTAACCAAGCGTCCTGGATGCGGACGTTGTCGTGTTCATCCTCCGTCACAGGGCTAGGCTGACGCGGCTCGGGTTATGCAGGTGCCGCATCGACGGCGACTCAGACACGGTGTTCCCACTTTTGCGCCGGTGACTTTCTTGTCAAAGTCTGCAAACAGATTCTTCTCCTGCGATTGGGTATGGGCAGAAGACTCTGAATGACCGGAGAAAGAAGCGGGAGTGGAATAGAAAAGAATGGTTGTGATAATGTACATACAGTGACAACTGGTTTGTACACTCTACAATCTAGCCGAGGCTGCGGTCCATGAAGCGTCGCTTCTGGAAGGACATCCACCACTTGCTAGGCTTGCCTGTGCCGTCTGCGTAGAAATACTCGACTGCGGCGAGTTCCTGACGAACCTGTACGAGGTACTGCCGCAACTTGTCTAAAACAAACTTAGTCAGACTGTGACCTGGCGACACCAGACAGCATACGCACCAGACTCTTAGCAGCTGGACGGGGGTGCATAGTGGGTGTTGAGGGGTAAACCTGAGTTGCCGGGGATGGGGAAGCTGTTGACGGAAAGGGTGTGGAGGAACTTGGAAGCCTCAATCTAGGTAAGGACGGTGCGGACTGTGCCGATCTTTGCGAGGCAGTTGGAGACTTAGAGGAAGAGGAAGTCGGACGTGTAGAGGATGAGCAAAAAGAGGGTGTGGTCTGCGGGTTCCTTGATCTTGAAATTGAGGAAGAGCAAGTTGGCACGGAAGAGGTCCAGCGTTTCGTCAATGATGTCGGGCAGTTCTGGGTATTGTTTGTAGAGTTGGGTGAAAGGGAATCGTTTCAGGTTCTGGCATGAATGAGAGTGACAGATTATTCACCTACGGGCGCTGTACCACAGATTTTTGTCTTGATTGGAAGCATTGCCAACGGTTGCCGGCCTGGCGGACATTGGGCTCCTTGTTGAACGACGAGTGGTACACCCGATATTGCCAGACCCTTTTCCAGAGGCTTTCCTGGACCTTGTGGAGTCCCAGAGTTTCACAGCTAGGATGTAGAGGACACAGAAGCAGCGATGTTTCAGCGGTAAGAGAGGGATTGCCCCGGAAAAGAAGCAGGTAACTTGGGCTTTGAGGCCACTGCGTGCGCATGGCTGTACGAGTCCTTGGGCTCGCTGCGCGGCTGAGGTTTAATGTCCACTTTTCTCTGGTTTAAGTCGTTAATTCCACTCTGTTTCAATTCAGGTATATATTTCACTATGGATTGTAAAAAAGAAAAAGTATTTCAAAAGCTGTTCATGCCAGAGCTCAATTATTGTATCATATTCATCGTTTAATACTTACGACGACATGTTTCTCAGGTCTATTAGCTCACACCAGCTGCAGGATGCACTGGAGTCTGGAGATTCAGATATACTCTATTCGAATCGTTGAATACCGGAACACAAGATGGGAACTAATTAATTTAGCCACAACCTCGCATGGGAAGTAGTCTCTCGTGGACAGCCACTCTATGTCATTCAGCCCGCAGGGCCCTCCTCATTACCCTGCATGTGACAATTTCTCCGCCCAAAAGGAGGCCACATACATGTCGCAGTCCTCGCTGGGGTTATTACCTCTTAAGGAGAATCTCCATATTAGTCTCCGTCGATTGAACACATTGAACACATTCCCATGTTCAATTGAACATGAACATCCACAACAAAATGTGTTTGATCCAGTAACATGTACGATCGACGACATAATGAACAAATTTTGAGTCTAATGAATGAAAGAATATTGAACATATCATACAGTGAAGAGAATATTCTTTGATTGTGCATGTTCAATTATTCACAGTCGTTTTGAAACCAGTCCAGGGCTCAGTTTTTCCATATAACAAATTGAAACACTCTGACAACATCTAAAATAAATACTGATTCCTTCCTTCTCAGCCAGAGCGGCAGAAAAACACGTTCGAATATCCTTGAAACAGTAAAAGAGCGCAACGCAACGTTATCACGTGAGCCCGATCACGCTCGGCTCTTTCCGGGCTGTCAGATCACTCTGTGGTCAGCGCGGCTAGCTTACGCGGAGGTAACCACCGAGGTAATGATGCGCGCACGATTCGCGTTGATGCACAGATGATCGGCGCCCAGCAACGCTGCCACACGAAGGCGAAGTGCACCGCGCGGAGCAAAGGAAAAGGTAAACTCCGGGGTTCTCATTTTCTACTCACTACTTCTCTATTTTCCCTTTAGCTCTACCGCAGCGAGCTCGGCTACGGGGTTACAGGGATCTGATGCATCAAGGCATATCGACAATTGTCGATGGTGGATATATCACGGCAGGTGGGAGACTGCGCACCTTTTGATCAAAACCACACATACGCCTGGAGCTCTGTCACTTCCGCCACGACTCTCACGACCCTAATGATTAAAAAAAACACTGCAGCCTTGATGTAGTGGGACTGAAGGCGGCCCTGTTAGAGAGCGAATTTTGGGCAAAGCATAAAGTTGGAGGGATAGTCAAGCGACGCGACATAAGCCGGGGCTTGAAGACAAAGATGCCAAGGCAATTGTACCACAAAGGCACGAACCGAGAAAGTCGAGTGTAAGACACTTGACAAAGCCAAGGCAAGAGTAATAAGAGGTGAGTAAATAAACCCAACAAGCAGGGAATAGACACAATACACAAATTGCCAGACAAAAGTACAGATCAAACACTCAAATGCGCACGAATGTGCCAACATAGAAACACAAAGTAGACCGCAAAAGGAAAGAAAAGTCAACCCGAAAAGGAAACAAGACTCCCACACGTCTCGTACGTCATAGGATAAAATTCACGATTTCTGGCAGAAGAATGTCGCAATAAGAACGAGTCTAAAAATAAATTTTTAGGACTCGTAAACAGAAGTTACAGCCAAGCCGGGCCAAATACCGGAATCACGGTCCGAAAATCCGTAGGGCGAGCTCGACGACCGATACGACACCGCCATAGGGCGCGCCACCCCGAGCACTGCCCTGTGCGATGGGCGGGCAGTCCCGCTCGCCGGTGGCGACGGGATCAAGAGACGCATTATATGATATGAGACGAGACATCATATAACGTCTCATCTCACGTTATATGATGTCTCGTCTCACATCACATAATGTCTCGGTTTCTAATATCCTAACGTCTGGACTCATGAGAAGATATATTGCGAGGGTGTACTCACTATATAATGTGCTTGTTAGATATCATATTGTAGTCTGTTTTTATAACGCTACACTACAAGTCATATATATGATGTTGTTTCGAGATATCATACGAGGTCCCGCCATGTCATATACTGCGTTTTGAATTATTTTACAAAACGAACAGCATATGGACCCGCCACCAAGCCTCCATTACCACTGGCACCTTCCAACTCACAATATCCCAGTAACTCTTGAGCAGGTTGAAACACGAGAATTGAACGCCTTGAATAAGGAATCCAACAACAGTCCTAAGCCTCTTGCAATTTACAAAAGCAGAAGTAACTTGAATCTGGAACTTGTATCTTTTCCTTGCGCGCACCCAGAGGCTCAACATAAAAAATGCCTGCTCTTTGACATGTCTAGTCATCGCTTGTCTGAATCAAATTGGAGGAGGGCAAAAAAAGAATGTGAGATTTTAGCATGGCTCGAGCTCGATTCGAACGAGCGATCTTCTATGTACAGTAACAGCGACCGGTTCTTCGCAGGTATTGCAGAAGCGGACCATCCGCCACCGAACCTTCATTACCACCTTCGGCTGGTAATATCCCACCGACTTTGGAGCAGGCTGAAGCCGGAGAATTGAACGACTTGGCTTGCACCGCCAACCCTCATGGAATCTGGGCTATCCTCGCTTGCCCTCAGCACAGGGCTCAACAGAAAAATGACTTTTCGACATGCCTCGGCCATTGGTCATCGCATGTGGGAAACGAAAAAAAGAAAAGAAAAGAAACGAAAAAAAAAGAAATGTTTTGCCATCCGCATATGGCTCGGGCTCGATTCAAACGAGCAACCATCTGCGTAATGCTCTGTATCACCATTCACAAACCACAAGTTGCAGATGCAGACCATCCACCACCGAGCCTTGCATACTACCGTCTGCCTTGCAATTTCTGAACAACACACTGTGTGCAAAATTGAACTAAATGGCAGAGTTATTTAATCAAATATCAATTCAACTTTCCGAGAATGAAAGGATCCAAGTTGAGCAAAATTGCGAGCAGATGAAGGTCCAATAAAGCATATTGTGTTCAGGAAAGTCAGGCGAGGAAAAACAACTTCTGTCTCACTACCTTTGGCTCAGGCTCGATTCGAACGAGCACCCATCTGCATAATGCTGCTTGGAACGTCACACATTACAAGTTGTAGATGCAGCCATCCGCCACTGAGCCTTCACAACCCCCTCTGACTCGAAATATCATATCCAAGTTTCTTCAAGAGGTGAGTGCCAATTTGAATTTGTAACGAAATTGATACTGGATAAATTGAACCGTGCAAAGCCCAAAGAAAAGAAAAAAAAACATAGCAGTAGGGTTCGAGTGGGCGAAAAAGAGCGGCTGTCCCGTGTATGGCTCGGGCTCGAATCGAACGAGCTGATTTCTGCATAAGTGGAGTTTTAATTGACTAACTGTCACAGACACGGACCATCCGCCACCGAGCCTTCCGTGCCACCTTCTAACTCATAATATCGGGGATTTTTTGAGAGGTGTGTGTGCACTAAATCTCGGTCAAATAGCAACGTTGCCAGGAGTGAATTCAATCGAGGATGAACATCGAGTAAAAAAAAGAGAGAAAGAGAGAATGTAGGCTGATGAAGGTCGGTCCAACGAAGGGCATGCTCGAGTGGCGTCCATCCAACCCAGGTGGTAAAAAGGCCGGAACAGAATCCTTCACTGGCTCGGGCTCGATTCGAACGAGCAATTTTTGCATCAATGACAAGGGAAATTTTCCAAGTATCACTGACACGGACCTGCCACCGCGCCGTCCACACTAACTTCCTACTGCCAATATCACACTTTCATGAGGTGTGTATAATTGAATCAGGAATGAATTCAACTGTGACTCAACATCAACCCCTCGCAGGCACTTACATCAATTGTCGACAATCCCAAACACAACCAAAACGAGCGTGTTAAAGAATATAGTGCTTTTCGTCATCTTCACGTCGAAGTCTGCCCTGTCGGTGCAATTGCAACGCTCTAATTCGACTGGTCCCAAGTGTTGAACTGCCCGGTGCCCGACTTCAAGCCCGTGGAGAAAGCGGAAACAAAAGTACGACGGTCCAGCACAAGAATAAAAGCCTTAAGCAGAAGACTAATCCGCGGAGGTAGCAAGAAAAGCCTTAGTTGGTTCCAAATGCTCGCGCAATGCGGGAAGTATGGCTAGCTAATCGCTGCAAATCCACACGGTCCCGTCCCACACACTGCGTTCCGGGTACCTGCAGTGCGTGCGCACGCTCCCATCCGCCGCCGTCCCAATTATCGTCTCCGGCGCGACTCCCCCCTCGACCCAGTCCACGAGCGCCAGTAGAATATTATGCGACGACGCGTTCACGGCGATCCCATCCACCCCGAAGCCGAGGATACCCTGCCCGAAGGCGTTCGCGCCCAGCCCGTTGCCGCAGTGCCCCATCCCAGGGATTAAGAAGAGGCGATAGAAGTCGTCCAGCAGGGGAAGGGACAGGGTGTGGGCTATTAAATCGTATACGCGCTTTGAGTTTGTTGCAGGTAGAAGCTTTGCTGATGATCAAATCGCGTTTTGCCTGAAATTAAATTCAAACGTACTGGATCACGGCTTCCGTGGTAGGTGAGGAATTTGCCGCCACGGTTGCGGAATGCGGAGAGGTCGCCGTTGAAGGTGGCTATGCCGCCAGGATTTATTTCGTCCATCAGTTCGATATCAGCCAAACCAAAGTCGGAGAAATCGTGCTCCGTGACGTTGAGCACCGCAAACCGGAACCAATTCTGAAACATCGTCGCGTCAATTCCAGTCAGACTTTACTGATGAAGTGAAAGACGTGCCGAAAGGAAGGCGGCCATACCAGGAATTGTCGCTGTTGCAAGGGGGTCTGCCTCCGCGCCAGGTGGGAACCGAGGGTAGAGGAGCTGTCCCTCCAAGCCATACAGAGGACTGTACAGATTATGCAACGCTTCAACCTGAATTGGCGTCAAGCAGTTTACTGTCTCGCTGCTGGTGCACTGGAGTGCCTCGGGGCGGAACTCGCACGCATCCGGCTCCGCGATAATCCCATCTACCACGCCGTCAAGCGCATCGCATTGTCGTAGAATCTCCTTCGAGACTAGTTTCCACAGGTCCGCAGGGATCCATTTCGGAGACGCCTCCGCGGGCGTGGTAGGCGCGCCGAAGTAGCGCGATATCATCCCGAACGTACCGATCGCGTTGTTGAAGTCCGTCGCCGGCGCGCCTCCCAAGATACCGTCGAAGTCGTCGGGGAACTTCAATGCAGACTGCGTAGCCTGCCTCCCGCCCGTCGAGCATCCCAGAAAATATGATTTCGTCGCCGCCCGAGCGTAATAGGCTTGCACGATTTGTTTTCCTGTCTCTGCGCCGACGTGAATGGCGCGGAACGCGAAATCGTTGATTACTTCTGGATGGTTGAGGAATTGGTGCGCGTCGCCGGGGTCGGCGCCGCCGCCGCCGTCGTGCCCATTGTCCGTGCCCACCGACGCAAAGTGGAGGGAAGTGGTGTAGTCCAGCGCGGAATAGTCAATGCCTGTAAATAGGTTTGGGGATTAATTTCGTGGGATTATAGGACTTTAGAGAAAACACACATCCTCCCAGGCCACCGTCGCCTACCTCCAGGAATCGGCCGTACCAAGTATCGGGGAGCCATGCTTCGGCATGGACTGCAGAGCTTGATGTGGTGTTGATGACGAACTGAACGCGGCACAGAGGCGCGGAGGTGACCGTGGCGGTTGACTGGCAGATGCCGGGCGTCGTGATATTCGTGGGTGCGGCGATGTATGTAGTGTTGAGGATTGTGGTATTTTCGAGATGGAGACTCGTTTTGAGGGAGAGGCAATTGTTTTGTGAATCCGATACCGCCGAGGTGAGAGCAAAACTGGACAAGAGCAGAACCGCCGCGGCCGCTGATGGTCGGGGCATGGTGATTTCGGTGTCCAGGGCGACCTCCACGCCCTTTTTTAAGTGGTCGCGGCTGCGGGAGTGAATAATCACCGAAAATACCGGGCTTTCATGTTGAATTATGGGGTAAACCGTGAGTGGTTGTCGGTGTTAAATCGCATCTGCCGCCGGATGGTCAGGTCATGCCGCAGCGGCACCCACATGCTGACAGTGGATTTAGACCCGAGCGCTGTTTGTTTGAGTCACGGAAAAGTGACGCGTCGCAGCGGCAGGCAGGGTTACGCCGTGATCGCGGGATATCAGACGGTCATTGTGCCATTTAGGTCAGGAAGGGCAAAAAATGCAGGACCGTCCCTTATGACTTGGGCTCGATTTGCATGAGCAACTTCTGGTCAATTATTTGGTCAACACCAGGCAAGTGTCGCAGATGTGGTCAATATCAAGCACGAGGTGTACGAAGTTGTAGGATTGATCCCGAAGTAATTCAACCAAGGTTGAACATCGAACAACAAAGTGTAAATTAAAACACAGCGCCGTTGAAATTAATTTGCATGATATAATACAGCGGATCGGATACAGCTACAAGTTCCACAGAAGTGGATGAGTCTAAGATCTCTTGTATTTCAGTCCGATTGCTTGGGAGGGCTGGGATCAACGACGTTTTGCGGAAAAATCGGATATGTCTCCATGTGGGCACCGGACTGGTGCGCACTTAAGTGGACGCTGAACCTCGGGGTCCCAATGTTTGAGTCACCTGTCACAGGGAGAGACAGGTGCGGGATGTGCACGTAGTGCAGTTTAGCGTTGCGGTACACCCGACAGGCCATTATGCTGGTCAGCGCCATGTTGGGGATGGAGATCACGCCGCGGTATATCGGGGAAACGCCAGGCGCGTATACCATGGAGATCATTAAGACGTTCGTAATAATTGTCATCCTGAATGGGAAAGAAGAGGGAGACAGTATCAATTTTGCCATTGCAGATTGTGATTCAAGACGCACATGTAATATTTCTCTCCGTCCCGAAGTAGCGCCTTGGACAAGGCGTGTAGATTCGCGCCGCGGAAAAGGGCCTGCACCCGCTGCCCAGGGGTGTATTCGATGTGGCTATTCGAAAGCAGGCGGAACGATATAGCAAAGAAGACGCTCGTGTCGTGCAAAGTCAAAGTCGTTCCAGCAATCCCGAGGTAGGAGGGAACCTTTGACACAATGCAAAATCGCCCAATCGCAACGGCGTGACTACTTATCGGGACTGGTATAGCCGTTCCCACCACACAGACCCACAAAATCCCGAAAATCCGGGTGACGAGAGGCTGGGCGCCATATACGGCCCGCACACGGAAGAAGAAAAGGAGGGCCGTGGCTCCAGCGGCGATCGGGAAAAAACAGTCGAAAACTACCAGAGCTACTTGACAATCGCCAAGGATATGCTGGAGGAAAAGGTCATTCGGCTGCGAAAAAGTGCATATTCAGGTCATAGTTACTGGCAAATAAGGTGAACCCAAGAACGTAGATAAAGGACGCAATTCTGCTCAGCGGGTTGTCAGAGAGACAAATCTCCGGAGATCACAACATGGGTTTACCTGGACAAAAGGTACACCGCGCCAGAGATTCGGAATTTGTGCTTGGAAAAAAGGTGATAATCGTCGACAAGGTTGTCCAAAATATCCCAGATAAACACCTGAAGGTGCGTCAGGAGGCAAGCACAAGGAGGAACGAAACGTAGACTCGTCACCAGTCTGCCTGTGGCAATACCTTTTGCGGGCACTTTGGCAGTGCTGGCAGCTTGGTAATTGTCGATTTGGCAAGCAGGTAACGAGTCTAGAACAAGTCTAAATCAAACGCACTGCTGTCGTTCCTGCAGCCACCAAACGAGCGATATGAAGTTGCGCCGCTAGGTCAGGAGGAAAGGGAAGCCCGGGAGGCTGCACCGTTTCCGAGTGACGATTCGCAACTGCCATGACTTGCTGGAACCTGGGGCGAAGGGTGGAAAGAAAGAAACGCATTTCACTGAAATCTTATTCCGTAACTTTTCTCATCCGCGGAGGAAGGATTCTCAAGTTTTGATGCAACGTTAGTTTTGTAGCTAGGTGGTTTTATTCCTGATGGTGCGAGTCACTTATTTGCGTTCTTGAAGCGGGACCAGAGAAATCCAAGCGTGAACCTCGAGCACACGAAGTCTGAACGACGCGTTCCCAGAGAACAAGAAGGCTTTCAGTAGAGTCACCTCGAGAATTCGACAGCTTCGTGTCTGAGACCAAGTGAACAAGAGAGCAATTCGACGTTTCCGATTTCGGATCAATGAACATTGATGTGTTGATGCCCACAATTTCAATCTTGCCGCATGCGGCAAACGAAAAGTCTCTCTCAATCGTCTACGCAACGTCTACGCACGTAAAATCGCCATGTCTGACCCCAAGCTCCGCAAACTGGGTCAGTCTCTGGTCCTGCCATTTCATAAGTTTTGCGCTTTACCTGAATTTAGGAGTCATGGAGAGGTACCATGCCACGCGACATTTCATGGGAATGGACGCCTGCGTTGTCACATCTGCGCGAT